ATGAAAATTAAGGACTTTTAAGGACCATCAAAGAAAAAATTAAGGACCTATCAGGAAACAAAAAAAATGAATAGAATAAAGCAATTATCCATACAACCGACTTCATGCTTGTAATTTCACTTTAAAAAACTAACAGAAGTGTGTATTATGCACTATTATTAAATTCAACTTAATACTTACCATAAAACAATTTTGAAAATTAAACTAACTCCCTACAAGTTATGAAGTAGATAACATTAAATGAGGAACATAATTTCTTGAAAAACATGTATAAGTGTATTTTACACTAATAACAGTCACTATTTTAGAGATTTACATGATTATTATTTAACTTATTTGATATTTATTTAAACATAGTCAACTACTATTATAATCACAATGTAAGAATATTTTGCAGATTAAAATAACTGATTTGTAAACATACAATTTATTTCCTTGGTTTTTTGAAAGATACTAGAATAATAAACTGTACAATAAAAGATACAAAACATTTGTGCTTTTTTTAAATCTGAAATCTTTTCAGCTTTTTAACTCTAATTTATTTATGTCTATTTCCTTTTCTTTAACTATTCTTCTAAGTTCATTTGCTTTGATAAACAAATCAATGTTCCTGATGGTCTCAGCTTTATCTGCTAAAGCATCTACTTCTTCATTAATGTCTTTAATGTCCCTTTGAAGGAAAGTTTTTCTTCTGCTTCATATAATCAATTTCTTCTTCAATAATATTTCTTTTCCTCTTTGAATTTTCAGATTTAGTTAAAGATTTTTGTTCTAAATCTAAATACTGAACTTCTAAATAACGAACTGCAGAAGCTGCTGATCTCATTTCTTTATTAATTTCGATATTAAGAACACCTCCAGAAAATTTTATGTAATCAAATACTGTGCGTTGAAAAATGTATGATGAGTCACTTAAATTTTCAAATTCAATTGCTTTATTTACAGAGAAGCCCCTTTCCACAGAGGCCTGTTCATGTGACAAGATAAGAATACTTGTCACAGTGAATACTTGAATAGTGAAAATATACATTTTTTACTATATATATATATATATATATATATTATATCCTAAACAATATAGATTAATTGATTATATTATCTCCTAAGTTTAATTAAAGTAGAATTATTTTAAAAGAGTGAATCCATACTGGTAAGTTATATTTTGAAAGATGTATATATATATATATAAAGTCCGAGATCCGGACATCTAATATCTGGAATGATCTAAAATCTGGACCTCAAAGCCACCACCAACCAATTTTTTAGGCTTTTTTGAAGGGAAGGGGTATGCTTTACGCACGCGCATTAGATTTTTTTCCCTCATCATAAAAAAAATGCCAGAAATCCGATTCTTAATCTTAGTTTGGTGCTAAATAAAATATCTCATTATTGAAGAAATAATTATTTTAGCATAAATTTGTGTGATTAGTAACTTGACTCCATAGCTGCGTATCTGCTTGGCATAATCTCAAACCGAAACATTTGTTAATTTTACACCAACTAATATTTTATATCCTTGATGCCGAAATCGCGAATCATTATTTATTGTATTTTGCTTTCATCACCGCATGTTTATCAACGAATGACAACTTGAGTGATGAATCATGCAGCGATGCCAAATAACAGAGTATTATACGATTACAGATTTAAGTTTAATGCGCTAAAATGTTGACAAGGGGAGATTTAGCAGAAATTTCTTTCCTTATGCTAAAAATAGATTTTGTTAATGATACTCATAGGACAAACGATTATATTTAGTGCTATTTGAATTAAGAATAACTGATTTGTTATTCACATAAAGCCAGAACCAGCTGCCAGAGCTCGCATGGCCGCACCAGGCGGCAGAATTTAGCGAAGTTAAACAGAAGTTTTTCATTGCGAATGACAATGCCCAATCATCAATCAATTAACGGAGGGCGAAATCTGTAGTATGGTTCTAAATCCAGAAAATACAGCTACCGATAGTGAAGAAAGTAACAGAGAGGTTACTGAACGAGAAAAAATTTTGATTGACAAGTTATTCGGAATTCTCGACACAGCAATTACAGGACTTGAACAATGGAACTTAATAACTGAACAAGAAATTATATGTCTATAGTATTAGTCTAAAGTATTAGCAGAGAAAACAAATCAAACAACTCACATTGAAAGAAATGTTTAATTAAAGTAAACATATAAATATTAAGCTCTTTTCTTTTGGTAAATTTTGATACCCTTTAAATCATAAATGCTTCATTATTTCATAAATCACGATTTCATATTTTCAATTTTATAATTTCTACGTGCCATCTTAGTAGATTTAAAATGATCTAATATCCGGAAAAATCTCAAATCTGGGATCGCCGAAGTCCAGAGTCCTCGGACTTTGTACACTGTATAAATATATATATATATATATATATCGGAATGTATATTTTCAGTTAAACTTCTACCCAATAACTTTAGTAATTCATGAAAGTTAATTTTGCGTCTAGTTAATTCAGGAAAATTAGTTTCAATTAGTTGTTTTCAGCTTTAAAAATATTAAAAAATTTTTAATTAGTTATTTTCAACTAATAATTGTATCGCCATTAGCAAAAATTATGCATTACTATCAACAAACATAGGTTTAAACCAAATACTTAATTGTCTATTGAAGCTTCAAAACGTATTTCCGAACTTCACTTTTTCTCGGCTAGCGTTACCGAATTTGCCCTTGGCGACCTAAAATCGAAATGGAGCCAACAGATTTCCCGCGAAATCGATAACAGACCCTCTGCAGAAATAAACTCATAATCCCGATATCCCATACATATAGTATGTGCAAAAGAGAATAAACTCCGTAGAAGGTGATAAAAAATTAATTTATGGCTTAATTGAAACAAACACAGAAATTAATTAAGCTAAGCAAAACCGTGTAAAAACAAATTGAAATGATAAAACGAAACTTAATTTTCATGTGAATTTTCAGCGCTGACTCTCCCATTCTAGAAATTTCAATTTGTTTCAGACAAAGACCACATTTAAGGATTGCCATCCATCAATATCCAGTCTTTGTAGTCAGCTTGATGAAGCCACAGTTTATTGAAAATGCACTTTCCAGGCATCTCGTTCCTATTGGCGTCGGAAGGGTTGTGGCCTTCCAGGTTGGAATTGCTCTAGTTTTGGCAAATATTTTCAGAATCCCCCCCCTCCCTTTTTTTTTCTCGAGCACCTTCATCATCACTTTCGCCTCTTAAAGAACTTCCAGCTTCACGCTTTCGTCACAGTCTGCCTAAATTTATGGATAACACCTGTTTCGAAAGATTGGGTGAATAGCCAATCAGACACCGATACTTTCGTTCGGGTAGCTAATTTTTTTTTTTTTTTTTTTTTATCGTTTGCAATGCAAATCCGCCAACAGATTGGTTAAGAGCCGTGTAATTTTAATTCCATATTCATGAGAAATCGTAATTCACACTTAGAATGGCAATCATTAGAAATGATAAGAAATGTCAAATGAGAAAAATTAAGGACTGTTTATTCATTTTGGCCAAAATTAAGGACCAAAAATCATTTTTGAAAAAATTAAAGACTTTTAAGGACCGTACGAACCCTGCCAACGAGTCCGGATTAAAGACTTTTGACTGTATTATCATTATTACTACAAGCATTAATTTAGCATCATGGAAATTTTATATAAATAAAAGACATATTAATTCTACATCAAAGAAATGTTTAATTGATACAGAAACATGTTTATAAGCAACATCAAAGTTTACAGCAAAGTTATGGCTCTCAAAATGAATTTGAAGCAAACTAAAAAAATCATCTTGACAACAATCAATTTATTAATTTTTAATAATATAAATGAAAGTATATTTAGAAATTTCAAAAAAAAAAAATCTAGCAAATTAATGAACAGTCAATGACAGCATTATTGCAATTTGTATAATATGAAAATTAGAGTTATTAGAAAAACGTATCATTCTCATAACAAATTTGATGTCCTCTAGACTACCCTTATGAGCTTAGAGATAAATATTCTGCAAATTCCTTTAAAATAAATATTAGCATGCCTGCTTCTTTTTTTCAGGGGAAAGGGGAGAAACACTGACTTTTGACAAGATTAGCATGCAAACATACAGGTAAAAAAAAATAATCCTTGTGGTAAATAGTGTATTAAGAAATAACAATAACTTGTAAAAAAACTTCAGTCACAAAAAGCATACCTCTGAAAGTGGTTTGTCATACATGTCTTCTCTCATGAAGTCAATATCTCTAGATGTCACAATTTCAACTAAAACACCACCAATTTCACCATTTTCTGTAACTGGAACACCAGCAGAACCTTTGCTTGCTTTAACATTTATTAAATCCCTAAGCTTATGTCTCGGACTCAAAACAACAGGATCACGAATAAAACCATGCTTATATTTCTGAAAATAAAATATTCAGATTTCATGCATGATGGTGAAAATACTAGATAAATAAATAGATAGCAATCAAAATTTATTAATCAATATTTTCTGCTTGAGAATATACTTCATTCGAAAGTTATAACTACTTTTTATCATTTTATTAAAAATTTTAAAAAAGAATTTATAATTAGATTTACCTCTAAAAATTAAGATACCAAACATATATATTGAGGAACTACAGTACAGTAGTTAAAATATAATTTAGAATAGGTATACGAGACAAAAAATTTCTACAGGAAAAAGCCAGTCATCAATTTTTAATTATTCTCCATTTTAAGTATATTCCATCTATGTAAATGAAGAATACATCATGTTGAGTGGTTAATGCAAATAATCATATTGAATGGTTAATACAAATAATTTACACTAATTTATCATACACTGATAAATAAATTTAAATTATTATTCAGGAAAAAAAAATAAATATAAATTTTTAATGATGATTTAATTTTCTATATACTATAATCATTATTAGTACAACTCTGATATACGCCCTAATTTCACCAAATGTGGCGATATGTGTTCCGCGCTGGTTTTTGGCGCGATTTCGTGTTCTATGGCAACCCTGTTGACGTTGAACAATCTTTCACTGGAGCTCGTTGATTCGCATCTGCGTCTGAGAAGATGGGAGGAAAGATAAAATGGTAAAAGTTGTTGAATTGAAGATCGGCAAAAAGAAATATCATTATGGCCATCCTGTTGAGGGGTAGTGGGTATTTGGAGGTGTGGAAAGAGGGTCTGGAAGATTATTTTTAATGGCTGTGCATGATAGAAGTAGGGATTTGTGATTTTATTTATTTGTGAATCATAGTATGAATTTTCTGGAGTATGTCTGGCTGTCATGTAAATACGATAGTGATTACGTGGCGGCATGTTAAAGGTGGTATGAAATTGGTATTTCTGCTGCTCGAAAAAGCATTAATTCATGGTAAGTGCATTTTATTTTATTCTTGTTCTTATTTTGTAGAATGTCATGTTCATTGGTTGTTTAGTATGAATTTCTGTCTTTATTGTTTTTGAAACAGAACGCTGTGTACAAGGTATTATTTGAAATTTATTGTTATGTTAATTTATTAAGGTGAGGTGTGCGTAGTTCATAGATTCGTTCCTTCCCTAAATTGTGCAATTCGTATATGTTTTTTTTTTTTTTTTCAAGTTTAAACAGGATGCTGTGTACATGGTATTCTTTGAAATTTATTGTTGTTATGTTAATTTATTAAAGCGAGGCGTGCGTAATTCGTAGCCTACATTGTGCCATTCGTAGATTTTTTTTTAAGTTAAAACATGTCGTTGTGTACATGAATTCTTGTCAAATATTTTTGGTTAGAAACTTTACATTTTTGCTATATAAATTTTTTGTTTTTGTTTCAGATTTTTAGCTTAAATCGTGTGTTCTAAACGTAGTTTTTGCATGTGCAAAAACCGCGTTTTTGGAGACATTTTAGGCTTAAAGTTCGAAATATAGACAAAAAATTTAGATGGTAATATGGCAGCATGAAGTTTCTGGGAAAAATGTTTGGCGAAAAATTTGCCGACTTGAAGGCGCATATCAGAGTAGTTCCTCATTATTTATTTTATTATGCAAAAAAAATCGTAAGAAGTGTTTTAAACTTAATTAGAAAAATAAAGTTTTTAACTTTTACAATACTTTCAATAACACGCCTTTTGATAAACTAAAAAACTAACAATTATAAATAAATACGTAAATAATAATATTTTAAGAAAGCACACATTATTTTGCAATTTTAAGGAAATATTGCACTGGGAGGTTTCAAAAATTGAAGTTCTTTTATTCAGGGAAAATATTACATTAAAATTTACGTTAACTTTCATGACCTGACTTGCTTGAAATTCTGGTGTACAGTTATGATGAATAATACCAATACCACCTTGATGCTATAAAAAATACAACATTAAGCTATAAATAATACCTTAAATGTGTAATTAATATATGTAATATAATTATATTTATTAACAGATATAATTTTACCAAAACAGATAATATGAAATATCAGTTCAACATCACATTAATTTTATTAAAACGCAGAATCAATTGATATCTGCCATTTTTATGCATAAAAAGATAATCATACTATCCCACTGAAGGTTCAGTTCATAAGGTTCAGAATTATAAATTCAGAACATGAAATTAAAAACTGCAGTCTGAATACTACATTCAGTTTCCAATTTGATATCTAAAACAAACAATAAGTTATGGCACCGAACTAGTTCAGAATTAATCCTTAGCTGAGAATTCTTTTGGGGGGATGGGGGAGGGAGAAAGGAAGAATCATCCACATATGAGACATCAACAAATATTTTCTATAAATGAAGTATAGAGCAACAATTTTTATTCTACTTAACACTGTTTGAAAATCATTGTCCACTTCTTTTGTATTCAAAGCAGTAGGCGACTAGCAGGTAGATCCAAATTAAATAAATTCCTCTTAATTGAAATGTACTGATTGTCACTGCAAGCTGCATTTGTTGACTTCAAAGGTCAACGAACCTACGTAAGTATTTAGACATAAATTAAAAAAAAAAAAAAAAAAAAAAAAAAAAAAAAAAAAAAAAAATTGTCACATCTGAGTTAGTTTAGTTTTATTTCATGTGAAATAAAAATAACCAAAAATTTGAAGAAGAAAATGTGACCATTAAAAGCTTTATTTTGGCATAACAGTGCTCATCTATTTGCTCCAGAAAGGTCTTCTGTGGAAGACTTTCTAAAGAACTAGCTTGTCTATCTCTCACACATACACAAAGAAAAAAATATTACATCCATTTATTTTGCTTAAAAAAAAAAAAAAAAAAAATCATTTCTGCTTGCAAATACTTACAGCCATTGCAATAGCCATGTCTGATTCCGTGACAGTATCCATAGGAGAAAACACTAATGGTGCAGCCACAGTTTGTTTTGTTAGTGATGTCAGATCCTATTCAAGTTGAAACAAAATTTAGATTTCAGAATTAAATTAAACAAAATTATCATTTTAAAAAACAATAAAACAGTAGTTCAAGTAATAATTAGAAATTGCTATTTTCTAGCATAAAAACATTTGCAAATTAGCTGATAATTTAAAATATTTGGCTTTTTTATTTTCTCTGCACTTGATAATGTAATTATCATCCTAATAAATGAAAGTTTGTGAAACGGGAATTAAAATAAGTAATTAAATAAATTTAGCTAATGTTAATGTAATTAGCATCTTAATTAATGGAAGTTTATCAAAAGAGAAATAAAAATAATAATTATACATATTTAGGTAGTAAATATAGTTTAATACAGGCCTACATGTACAGATTTTAGCTGCAACACTCAAGAGAGTTAAGCAGAGTTGAAAAAACAGACGGAATGTTACATACAGGGCTATAGCAATTGATGACACTTTGCAGAGTTTCAGGAAACCCTAGGAATTATTTCTGAGAAAATTTTGGAAAATGAAAATTAGCCTCAAGCATACGAAGAGGTATCTTTCAATAATTCATAACGTAATTTACTAGAGCATGTAGATACATCTTAACTGATGTGAGACTTTTCAAATAATAAAAATTTATAGAAGAAAGGATGCACAGCAGTCAAACTAGTACTGTGGATGTCTTGAACATATGAAATGTTAAACATTGCTCTTACTCCAATAAGATTAATACATTTTTTAGATATAAAATCACACAGACAAAATAACAGTTACCATTCCCTTTTCTTCTCTCTTGCTTTTTGTTGCCATTCTTGCGAAAAGAAAAGTGCATGCGAGAAGTGAGCTTTTTGTTGCCATTCTGGCGAAAAGAAAAGTGCATGCGAGAAGTTTCACAGATGGCGCTTCCGTTAAAGCGAATGATGTCACCGCACACCAAGGCCAACTTGCGCACAACCCCTTCCCAGTGATAGCGTTATACCTCGTAATCTTTCAGGTATGCAGGAAATCTCACCCTTCGTTCAGCTTTTGTGTTTCTAGGATGAATATCTTGGGAAGAATCATTGTCTCCAGGATGTGGAGGTGAGATTTTGGAGTCATCAGCTTCATGTGTCGGGAGATTTGTTGTTGTTTCATTCTTGAGGCTGAAACATGGTTTCAGTCTATCTATCGATATCCTTTTAATTTTACCTGAAACTTCCACATAGAAAAATTTCTCAAAACGTTTTTTAGCTAAATATGGTCGGAGATAGGGTGGTTGAAGAGAAGATGAAATTACGTTATTATAGATGAATACGTGTGAACAATTTTCTAAGTCCTTGTGCACGAAAATTGGTTTTTTGTCATGGCTGGTTGTTGGTGTTGGTTTTAGGTTTTGGATGTGACTTTGCAATTTTTGTATAAAATTTGAATGCGTAACAGTGGGGACATAACTGAAAAATTCTCCAGGCAAACAAATTGATGAACCGTACACAAGTTCAGCAGAAGAACAATACAAATCCTCCTTAATGGCGGATCGAAAGCCAAGAAGAAGCAAAGGTAGCACGTCAGTCCAAGAATTTGACTTTTGCAGGTGGGATTTTAGGTTACTTTTCAAGGTTCGATGTTGCCGTTCTATTAAACCTATTATTATTCTATTAGATTGTGGATAATAAGCCGTGGTGCTGTTAGCCTTGAAGCCTAGGTATTTGCTCAAGGATCTGAAGAGTTGGCCGTCAAATTGTCGACTTAGTCAGATGTTATCGTCTCTGGAATTCCAAATCTCGAAATCCAAGTCGCGAGGATTGTGACGGACTCTGCAGTTTGGTCTTCCAAAGAGGTACAGCTTTGATCCACCGAGTGAATCTATCGATGATGGTAAGCAGGTACCTAAAACCTTTGCAAGGTGGTAAAGGGACAACGATATCGATATTAAGGTGCTTGAAACGTTGATTAGGAACTTTGAATTCAGCAGCTGGAGCATGGGAATGTTTGTGAATTTTGGCTCGTTGGCATTGCAAGTATGCTTTAGACCACTGCTAACAGTCTTTGTTTATGCCAGGCCAAATGAATCTTTTTGTCAACAGCTTCATTGTTGCACGAATCCCAAGAGGGGATAAGTTATGTATAGAAGGAAATACTTGTTCGCGAAATTCTTTAGGAATGTATGGCCTGTTAAAATTAGTGGAGGTATCACAGTAAATTTTCTTATTGCTATCCGGAATAGGAAATTAGTACTATTTTGAAATTGGAATTCGATTTGAGAATCCTGAGGTCTTTCATCCTCCTGGCAATCTGCTATAACTGTATAATCAATTGGAGCTGGGACAGCGATGGTGTCGATTCTCGATAGCGTGTCAGCTACAATGTTTTCTTCTCCAGAAATGTAGCGTATGTCTGTAGTGAATTCAGCAATGTAGTTCAACTGCCGTACTTGTCTTGGAGAGGCTTTATCTAAATTCTGGTGGGAGGCGTAAGTGATAGGTTTATGATCAGTGAAGATAGTAAATGATCGTCCTTCCAGAATGTGTTTAAAATGCTTCACCGCTAGGTAGATTGCAAGTAGTTGTAATTTCTCTGTGTTGGTGATAGGGATCGGGAGAAAAAACTTAGCGGTTGTTTTTCATTATTAGATAGTTGATGAATCACAGCACCCACGGCAGAATTAGATGCATCTGTAGTTAGGGTGATCTGCGCCGTTTGATTGGGGTGAACTAACATTACAGAGTTGCACAGTGCGTTTTTGATATCAGTGAAAGCGTTCTGCGCATCTTCGGTCCAAATTAGAAGTTTTTTGCTATTTTTCTTTACTGCTTTAAGCAAGATTGTCAGAGGTTGTTGTAGTTTGGCGCAGTTTGGAATGAAACGATGGTAAAAGTTCACCATGCCCAAAAATCTGAGCAAGCTTGTGAAGGATTCTGGTTTAGAATATTCTTTAATTGTATCGACTTTGGATGGAAGTGGCTTAATTCCTTCCGTTGATATTTCATATCCTAAAAATTCAATTTACTCAAGCCAAATTTGCATTTTACAATGTTTATGCACAGTCCATAGTTATTGAGTCTTTGGAAGATTAATTCAAGATGTTTTTTGTGTGTTTCAGCATCTGGAGAGAGAATGTCGTCGAGATAGCAAAATACAAAGTCTAGGCTGCTAAGCAGTGTGTTCATAAACCTTTGGAAGGTTTGTGCAGCATTTCATAAGCCAAATGCCATGTAAGGAAATTCAAAAAGTCCGAAAGGTGTTATGATTGCTGTCTTCGGAATATCAGCTTCATGAACAGGAATCTGTTGGTATGATCTTATTAATCTATGGTTGAAAAAAATCGTTTTTCCGAGCAGAATGTGAGTACAGTCAGTTAGAAATGGTAGTGGGTAACGGCCTGGTACAGTATTTGCATTAAGGCCACGGTAATCGCCACATGGTCTCCAGTCACCGGATTTTTTTTAAAGTGAGGTGTAATGGACTTGACCAGCTGCTTTTCGATGGTCTGCAGAGACCTTCTTGCAACATCAAATTCCTTTTTCGCGGCAATCAACTTTTCTTGTGAAAGTCTTCTGACTTTAAAGGATACAGGGTTACTTTGGTTTCGATGTGATGCTGCACATCATGTTCTTTAATTTTACTGGGTTTTATGTTGGGCTTAAGTAAGCCAGGAAATTTGTCTAGGATGGCTCTATATTGGTTTTGAAAAGTATTAGCAATGAATTTAGGAGTGACGCTATTGTTACACAAAGTACCTTTAGCCGTTAATGAGATGGTGCCAACGATTAATTTCCTGTTTTTACTATCGACTAACAAATTAAAATGTGAAAGAAAATCTATTCCCACGATAGGTTTATTAACGTCCGCAATGATAAAAGGCCATTTGAAAGATCTGCGTAGCCCTAAATCGAGCTCCAGTAATTTTTGACCGTATGTTTTGATTGTTGTACCGTTAGCTGCGAATAACTCAAGCTTAGCCACAGTTCTTTTTTCATCAGACACTTTATAAGTTGAATTCAATCGCATCCGGGTAAACCAGTGTGTATGTCTTGAACATAGGAAATATTAAACATTGCTCTTACTCCAATAAGATTAATATTTATTTACATTTTTTAGATATAGAATCACACAGACAAAAAATCAGTCATCGTTCTTTTTCTTCTCTCTTGCTTCATGTTGCCATTCTGGCGAAAAAAAAGTGCATGCGATAAGTTTCACAGATGGCGCTTCTTTAACGCGAATGATGTCGCCACAGTACAGTCAAAAGTCGTTAAGGACTCGTCGGGTCTTCGGCGATTCCGGATTATCAATTTTTCCGGATTATAGGTTATCAGTTTAAAGCTGGTAAGATGGCATGCAGAAATTATAAAATTAAAAATATGAAACCGTAATTTATGAAATAAAGAACAATTATGATTTAAAGGGTATCAAAATTTACAAAAAAAAAAAAAAAAAAAGCTTAATATTTATTTGTTTACTTTATTAAACATTTCTTTCAATGTAAGTTGTTTAAGTTGCTTCGTTTTATGTGATAATACTTTCTCTTTAATTCTATAAAACAGACATAATTTCTTGTTCAGTTACAAAGTTCCGCTGTTCAAGTCCTCTATAATTGCTGTGTCGAGAATACCGACTAATTTGTCAATCGAAATGTTTTCGTTTTCAATAACCTATGTGTCACTTTCTTCACTATCGGAAGCGAATTATAATGACGAGGAATTTGATTTAAATCATATTAAAGACGGAGTACATCGAGATGAAATACTACATTTAGTAAGGAATTATAAGCCAAATAAAATAAAAACATCTGCCCTGAAGATAAGGTTAGTGCTGACAGATCAACTTCCAATTCATTGCGCGCTGCGTCGTTCCCTCCCACCGCCGCAGAGCAGCGTGAAATTGATAAACAGATTTCGGAATGGTTAGAAAAACAAAAGATATGCCGTTATCCATTTTTTGCAGCAATTCCACTTTTTGTTTGATGGACATCGAAACACACTTTCGCTTTGTAGATCCTTTGGGAGCTCCAGCATCGGAAATTCTATTTGACATAATCGAAAGTTCAAGCTTACTTTTATAAAATTGCTCTAACAGTCTGCAAAAAATAATAAGCCGGATCCAATTCGAAGATTAAGGAACAACGCAATCTCTAACATTAACTGAAATAGATAATTAGATAATTTTAGATTATACCGTCCGTTATACATTAAATGTATTATGCTCATGCGCACAGGCGTATGCGCAACCGTAAAGGTCTTACGCGCATGCGTAAACGCCTATGCGCATGCGTCAATGCAACGCATGAGCAGAAAGTTTGTAGCTTTGAGGTCCGGATTATAGATCATTCCCGGATTATGTGTGTCCGAATTAACGACTTTTGATTGTATATGATTTAATTTAATTAAATTGGCTGAAATTCGTGGTAGTTGGTTATGGTTACAGCAAGACATATGAGAACTACTCTTCCTGGTAAGATTGTTGTTAGAGAGAGTGTTTTAAGAGATATTGGTTGACATAGTCTATTATCAAAGCTAGCATGTTAGCCAAACAGTATAAACAACAAACAGACAGTAACAGCAAACTAATAGAGAGCAAAAGCAAAATGAGTATGAAAAACATGAAAATGAGAAGTTATTTTTAAACATAGATATTTACAAGAAATAGTGTCCTATATTTAAAAAAATTGTTCAGATGGATGACCAGCAGCTGCAACATATGCATCACAAAGACAATAGATCTCGTCTACGAGATGTAGATCGACTCTCCTGTCATTAGAATTGTCATT